GTATATCACCTATGCACGTAGTTAACACTTTCGCGCTCTCGGCGAAGGTCACTCAGCCATCCGTATGTGCGCGCGGCGTTTTTATCGCTTAAGCGTAAAAACAAAAATGTGTATACTCTTTTTACTTTTCTGACCTTAGTTTTCATGCTACGTATTTCATTTTGGTACCAACGTGTTCGCAATAAAATTCTCTAGAAGAACATCAGTAAAAAAAGTCACGAAAGCTATAGAGATACCAGCATGAAATAAATAACTACGAAGATGAGTCGCCGTGAGCGCTCAACAGCAACAAAATGTTTTTACTCTTGGGATTATTATCACCTCTACAATTGTCCTACAGCCTTAATTTTGGTATCAATGGACTCCTAATAAAATTCCCAATACGGTGATATGAATATAATAGTAGAATAATGGTCCCGGCCCACCCGCAAGAGTGTGGGAAGTGGGCGCACTGTTACCCGGTAACGGTGACCGGACGACACACGCGCGAAACGTTGCTTTGAAAGTTTATACTTATTTCACTGTTCTGATATTATTAGTGTATGTATGTCATTCATTTTTGTGGCAATGTTTTCGCAATAGAATGTTCTATGAGCTAAATTATACTACACAAACTTGGACCAAATAGGTGTACTTACCAAGGGAAGGCTGGTTGTGGAACAGTAAGTTGAGCATTTGTTCTTCACTCCACCTTCTTCAGGTTCTTCATTCCCGAAGTTGCTCAATAGATGGTTTGTAGGTGGAGTGAAGCTGTTGCGGGTGGTTACTTCTTCACCACCCAATACACCTGTTTCCGGTGGTAATTGGTGTAGCAGGGAACAACACAGAGTGCAACACCACAGGTCTTGCATCCATAGTTCGTGTCCTTCCTTTTACCGGACCGTGCGCATGCATGACACTTGAGACGTTTGAGCAGTCTGTAAATTTCATGTTTCAGTTTGTAGTTCATGCGATTTTCTGAATCAACAATAGGGCGGCCAGGTCCTCTCGCTGGAGGTGTAACAGGAGTTGCAGGAGAGTCAGATTCATCTGACAAAACAGTTTCGTCAACTGGCAGTGTGGCAGACATGTTGGGTTCAGATTCGTTGTCTGCTTCATCTTGAGGTGGTGTAGTGAACAAAGGCCGCCTCACACCAGATGGTCCGGGAGTTGGCATGGCGTCAGCATTGGCAGGAGCCGTGTCATCATTTATGTCTGGAGCGTGCCGCAAGTGTTGAGATGATGATGATGTTTTAGGCCACTCCTCTGTGTCCCAGTGCAATAGGGCCCAGATTGCCACTTCGTGGAACTGTAGCAATGTTAGCTTTTTTCGATCAGTTGTGTTGTATTTGTACAAAACATAGGCATTATGCAATGCCATTTGCAGGAAATAAAAGGTAATCTTTTTGGTCCACTTGTGAGTTTTCCTGGTAAAATGGTAATATTTAACCATTTGATCGAAGTGGTCCACACCTTTCATGAACTTATTGTACTCGCAAATTGCAGTCGGTTTGTTCACTGTTACCTGTTGTATTCCACTTGTTCCGTCTCGGTTGCGAATTCGCTTCCTTCGCTGAACTCGCTGAGTGTCTGCATTGTGGATGTTGGTAATGATTGAAACCACTCGCTTGTCTTTCCACAGGAGAATGAAGGTATTATCTTTGCGGCGGTATACTGTGGTATCCAGTGGAAGTTTACCCTTGGCTAGAGCTTGCAATACCTTTGGGGCGCCACGTAGCATTCTAATTGTGCCACATGTGTACACCCCAAGTTCTCTCAATGTTTCTGTCAGGGTAACCGAGTTGTAGCAATTATCCATGTACAAATGGTAACCCTGGTTCACTAAAGGCTGCATCAACCCCGTTACTGTATCCACTATCGTCTTACCAATACCTGAGTATACGTCAAAGTCATATATGTACCCAGAGACAGATTCAGCAAGCATATAAAGTTTCACACCATACTTGTCTGGTTTATTTGGATTGTACACTTTGAAGGATAGTCGGCCTCGCCATGCCATTGTACCCTCATCCAAACACAACTCTTTCTTGGGGATGTAAACTTGAGCAAACCTCTCTTTCAAGTAATCCATCACTGGTCTCACTTTTATTAGCTTATCACGATTGTTCACGGGCACTGCATTGGTATTGAATGTGTGGAAAAACTGGTTTATATGCTGGAATCGTCTGGACGGCATGAACAAGCTGAAGAAACGAGCATGCCATGGCTTTGCTGTTTGCCAATACATCCTCATAGTTGGGAGCCTAATTATGCCCATCAATATGAACAGTCCTAGGAATCGCGACATTTCACTCACCTTCACTGGGGTCCAAATATCTGATACATTTTCATTGGCCATCCGGAATAACTGCGAGGCGTACAAATTTGTTTCAACGGTAAAGAACTCAAGGAGGGCACGCGTGATGAACAATTGAATATAAGCCAGTGCACTAGTAGGCTTGGGAATTTTCAGTCCAGGATTTCCAGTAAAATCATCAACAACTGGAGAAGTATTGCTACGACTCCAGCCCTCACCAGCCCCAGCCTGCCGAGTACGTACTGTACATGTACGCCTTTCAGCACGCTCGAATGAATCCTCATCACTTTCCTCATCACTTATACTTTCAGAATCACTTGGCGCAATTTGTCGTGTGTTCCTACGACGAGTAACATGTCTGGTAGCTACTTTTCTAGGTAGCCTAGATGCACCACGTGTGCGCCGAGATGGAGGAGGAGGAGAGGGTCGCGGTGCCTCCTCTTCCTCGGTGAGAGCCTCAGTCTCCTCATCACTCGTTGCCGTATCATTCCCTCTAGCTCTAGGTACACTATAATCATTGTGGGTTCCAAAATCTTCCTCCAATACCTCTACTTCACCTTCAGCTTCTGATAAATCCTCCACAAGGCCTGGAATTTTCGTTGGTGTGAGCTTCACTCTGCTCCACTTCTTAAAAACTTGGGTTATTTTGTCCACTCTCGATGACCTGGAGGCTTCCTTGGGCGTAGAAGTGCTTGGGCCTTGACCTTGATCCATTTTTGATGAAGTAATTGGGTATAATCCACACGGAAACGGGTAAAAATGCTCGAGTTTGGCGCGCGAGGGGAGCGTGATCGACTCACGACACGTGACACGAAAACAATGGGCCCGTCACGTGACCGGGTAGGCCGACGCGCCAGGCGGCCTAGTGGTGAGAAAGAGAACTTCATGGCGCGTCGTTTGAAACAAACCCCAATGAAATCGGATTAAAATTGAATTTTATACAAATATTTTAAAAGAAGACATAACTTTATGTCCACTATGCGTTTACGTTAGACGAAACCGGACGCGCCGGCGCGTCCAGATAGCGCGAAAGTGTTAAATTAATAAGTCAATATTGACTTTACGAATTTGCGAGAACGGGTTGGTTTTTATATATTTATTTGTTGGTGTTCTATTACATGTCCAGGAAGAATTTCAGATCAGGATTAACATTTAGTAGAAAGTTTTTGTACATATATGTAGTACAAGAGAATGTGTGGAGTGAGTGTAATTATCTAAGTGTAGTTACAGGATGAGAGCTATGCTCGTGGTGTCCCGTCTTCCCAGGACTCTTTTGTCATATGACACTTTGAAACTCCTGACGGTCTTGGCCTTCACCACTTTCTCACCTAACTTGTTCCAACTGTCTACCACTGTGTTTGTGAAAGTGAATTTTCCTATTGTTCCTCAGCATCTGTGCTTAGTTTAAATCTATGACTTCTTGTTCTTGAAGTTCCAGGTCTCGGGAAATCTTCCCTGTCAATTTTATAAATTCCAGTTACTATTTTGTACGTAGTGATCTTATCACCTGTAATTTCTTCTGTCTTCTAGTTTTGGCATATTTAATGCCTCTAACCTCTCATAGTTCTTGCCCTTCAGTTCTGGGAGCCACTTAGTAGCATGTCTTTGCACCTTTTCCAGTTTGTTGATGTGCTTCTTAATTATGGACACCGCACAACTACTGCATATTCTAGCTTTGGCCTAACAAAAGTTGTAAACAATTTCTTTAGTATTTTACCGTCCATGTATTTAAAAGCAATTCTGAAGTTAGAAAGTTTAGCATAGGCCACTCGCACAACATTCTTTATGTGGGCCTCAGGTGATACTTTTCTATCTAGAACCATCCCTAGATCTCTTTCTTTATCACAATTCTTTAAAGATTTCTCACATAATTTGTAGGTTGTGTGGGGTCTATGTTCTGCTATTCCACATTCCATATCATGACATTTATTCACATTAAATTCCATTTGCCAAGTGGTGCTTCATATACTTATTTTGTCCAGGTCTTCTTGAAGGGCATGCCAATCATCTAAGTTTCTTAATCTTCCTACTATTTTAGCATCATCAGCAAACATGTTCATATAATTCTGTATTCCATCTGGTAGATTGTTTATGTAGACAATGAACATCACCGATGCAAGATCTGAACCCTGTGGTCCTCCACTTGTGACATTTCTCCAGTCCAATACATTGCCTCTGATTACTGCCCTCATTTTTCTATCAGTCAGAAAAGTTTTCATCCATGTTAGAAGCTTACCTGTCATCCCTCCAATATTTTCCAGTTTCCGGAACAACCTCTTTTGTGGAACTCTATCAAAAGCCTTTTTTAGGTCCATATAGATGCAGGCAACCCAACCATCTCTTTCCTGTAAAATCTCTGTGGCTCGATCATAGAAACTGAGTAAATTCGATACACAGGATCTTCCAGATCAAAAACCATTGTGTCTGTCTGATATTATACCATTTCTCTTCAGGTGTTCTACCGATTTAGTTTTTTATTATTTTTTCCAATATTTTGACTATTACACTTGTCAATGATACAGGTCTATAATTGAGTGGATCTTCTCTGCTGCTACTTTTGTAGATTTGAACTATTGTGTGTGTGTGTAGCATGTACATAAATTCAAGCAGAGTGGCTGTGTGTTATCTGTAGCTGCAGCTGTAGAGAAACACAATTTTTGTTTAATGAGGATATATATTTTATTCAGGTTTTCCTTATTTTCAGTTCACACTCAGCAAAATGTCAACCAAGTTCAATATAGTGCTATAGAGGGAAGCAATCAAAATAGGAAGATCAGTGAAGCAAAAGACAAGAATGTAGAGCAAGAGGATAAGTCCTTGAAAGAAATGAAGAAACAAAGACTTTCTCAAGATACAACTGATACAGGTAATCAAAACTCATTCTTCATTACTCAATTTGAAAGCAAAACTTGTACTCGCCTAGTTGTGTTTGCAGGGATTGAGGATTGGCTCTTTGGTCCCGTGTCTCAACTGTCAATTAACTGGTGTATAGATTCTTGGGCCATTCCTCCAGTTTGTCCAGTTTTAGTTATATATTTTTAAGTTTTTCCCATAGTATGAGTATTAGTGGTTTTGGGCATTGTACTTGCCTTTCCTATGAATCCTACAATCTGCTTGTATCCTATGTATGTATGTACAATGGGGCCTCGACTTACGATGCTAATCCGTTCCCAGAGACGGAATGTAAGTCGAAATATCGTAAGTCAAAGCGATTTTTCCCATAAGAAATAAAGAGAATTGAATTAATCCTTTCCCCACCCTCCAAAATATTAACATACAAATAAATTTTATACTGAATACAATGTTTTTTTCTAACTACAGTACAGTACCAAAGTTTCTCTTACCTTTATGGAGGGCTCTTGATGGTGTATGGAAGATGGTGATGAGGGGGGAGGAGGAGAGTTGTTACTGTATGGAAGGGAAGTCCCCTTCCATTATCACATCAGGCAGTGATGTTTTCTCTGGGGTACTCTCTCTCTCCTACGTTTTGCCTGAATACCACTAGGACCTGGTTATGGTTGTGTGCTTGTTTGTCTCACTACAAATTTGTCAAGATACATTTTTTTTTACTTCGTTTTAACATTTGTCTGTAATGATGCATCACAGTGTCATTGAATAGGTTAAGGCAACGACCTACTGCAGCTTGATTTGGGCGAGTCGTTTCAGCAAAGGTTTGCAATTCTTCCCATGCTGCACACATCTTCTTAATTGTTGAGGAAGAGACATTCTGTACTCTTGTTTCTGTTCTATGGTCGTCCTTACATGGGTTTTCATATCTTGAGCCTTACCACTGACTTACCTGGGACTCATGGCGTAATATATAATAATTACTTTAATGTTCAAAATGCAAAAAATCACCACAAAAGTGGAATTTCTTATAGGCGTGATCGTCACTAAGCGGGCAGCTGTAGTAAACTGAGGCAGGTCGGCCGCGTGACCGGGAACCACGCCCTCGGTCGACCCGAACGTGTACCAACAAATATCGGAAGTCGATGACACCATCGGATGTCGAGTCGCATTTTTCGATGAAATTTACATCGTAACTCGAAATTATAGTAAGTAGGGGCAATCGTATGTCGAGGTGCCACTGTATGTATGTATGTATGTATGTATGTATCTATGTATGTATGTACTTTTGCCTATATAAAATATTCACATTATCAAAGACCATACATTCATCACACATTGCATTCCCAGATTTTATGTTTTGGTGGAGAGGGGTTTCGTGCTGTCTTAGTGCCATCTTGGCCAAGAGGTACCTTGGATCATATGGTCTTGGGGAAAAGACCATCATGCATTCATTCATTTATGATGGTCTTGGGAGAACATTGTGAATGAATGAATGGAGGTTTTGGGGTGGCTTCTAGTGTGCTTTTTGGACCTGGCGAGTGTTTGGGTCCTGTCCCATCTCAAGAATGTCTGATCATATATTCAAAGCTCTTTTTGTTATTTGGCAGTCTTCCAGCTGTCAACTATTTGTTGTGATGTGTTTTGTTAATATATATTTTGTTTAGAATATACTGTATGGAAACCAGGGATACTTTTCTTCATTGTCTACAAATATAAAAAAATCTATTTTTAAATATAAAGTACTTGTTTTATATTCACAAATAATTATTATATAAGTGTGCAATGAATTGATGTGTGCTGTATTGGCAGAGCATCAAATCATCTAGATGGTAGGGCAAGTAAACCAATTTTAACTCAAATAATCTATGCTAGGTTTCTTGGAAACCACTGTGGCACCACAATTGCCCTTCTTGGTCTCTTTCTACAGTGTGTTGTGATGCCTGGTGGCCTCTGTCTATAGACTATTATGGTTCCAAATTTCTGTGATTTTGGTGTTTTGTTTTTTGTAAATATTTCTTACATATTTTATGTTTTCCACATTTTCAGCACATCAGTGTCTACTTACTGCTGAAGCAAGTAACTTGATCAGGGGTCCCAAAGAGCATATCTTAGAAGGGTCGAAGATGTCCATTGAAGACGAGATGGGTTGAAGCCATCAAACGGAAAAGAAGAAAGAAATCTTTTAAAGATAGTCAAGAAGGAAGGTGAATCTGTTGGAAAAGGGCAAGTCATGATGCTTTAGAATAGATTTTTTTTTTTTAAATGTAATTAAGTCAGAGGTGACTCCCATCAAAACTATGTATCTTACTTCCTTTGCAGAACAATATAATTTCTAAAAAATTTCCTAATTATTTATGTAAAATATATGATTCATTATTGTAATAAACTCAATAAACTTGTGTTTAAAGTCAGTAATCCATATATTCATTTATCAATCCATCCTTGTACTCACCTAATTGTGCTTGCGGGGTTGAGCTTTGGCTCTTTGGTCCCGCCTCTCAACTGTCAATCAACTGGTGTACTTACATTGTGCAGTATGTGTAGAGAGATTGTGCAGAGACTTGACTTTTAACATGTTGAAGACTTTTAGTAAGGGAGCAGAGTGTTGTCTGATACTGTAATTTGTGATGGTTGTAATTTCTGATTTTTGTTGATTAATTTGGGGTAGGGGTAATTAAGGGTTATCTTGAGATGGTTATCTTGAGATGATTTCGGGGCTTTAGTGTCCCCGCGGCCCGGTCCTCGACCAGGCCTCCACACCCCAGGAAGCAGCCCGTGACAGCTGACTAACACCCAGGTACCTATTTTACTGCTAGGTAACAGGGACATAGGGTGAAAGAAACTATGCCCATTGTTTCTCGCCGGCGCCCGGGATCGAACCCGGGACCACAGGATCACAAGTCCAGCGTGCTGTCCGCTCGGCCGACCGACTCCCTCCAGGGTGGTGGATCCCCAGGCACAGTTACCATAGGCAAGACATAGATAAATGAGGGAATAATACTGAGTAACTAGGACAAGGCGAGGAACATAGTATTTGACTTTGGAAAGAATGCCTACTATTTTAGAAACCTTTTTGCTAATATCTTGTATATGGCAATGGAAATTGAGTATGTTTTCAATGTGAATACCTAGGAACTTCACATCTACTCTGTTGGCAATTTGAGTATTGTTAATTCTTAGATCAATTTGATTATTCCACTTAATTACCAATTTTTTTTTTAAGTCTTGTAAGTGTTAAGGGGCTATATTGAGTTGTAATAGGACATGGTTATACCAAATAACCATTGTTATTCAAGCAAAGGGTTGCGCTGGAACATCATTCAGTTATCTTAAGTTGAATGAAGTTACACAATCCTCACCAGAGCAGTTTGTTTCCCTATTAGATTGGAGTAAAGAAAATTATTGTTTTTTTTTTTGTTTTTAATAAATCAAATGAAAACAAAATTAACACTTTCGCGCTATCTGGACGCGCCGGCGCGTTCGGTTTCGTCTAACGTAAACGCATAGTGGACATAAAGTTATGTCTACTTTTAAAATATTTGTATAAAATTCAATTTTTATCCGATTTACTTTGGGTTTGTTTCAAACTGCGCGCTATGAGGCTCTCTTTCTCACCACTAGGCTGCATGGTACAATAAGTTCATGAAAGGTGTGGATAAATTCGATCAAATGGTTTTTTGTCCCAAACGGGTTGCAGGTGGGTGACTTTAGCCGTTTATACTGGTAATTCTTCCCCCATATCATGTATTATATGCATGTCTGTTTAGGGAATTTTATTCCAATCAATATACAACCAAAAATAACTGTGTGCAACAAGTATAATCTTGACAAACATAACAAAAGTAAAAATATTTCGTGTGTGTTTGACGCTCACTGATATGTTCCAGCGTTGTTTTATATTTGTCGCTATTCTAACTTACGCTTTGTTGATATTTTTTACCTATGGGCACATAGAACATTCTATTGCGAACACATTGACATAAAAATGAATGACGTACATAGAAAATTAATGTCATGAGAGTGAAATAAGTATAAACTTTCAAAGCGCCGTGCGTCGTCCCGTCACCGATACCGGGTAACAATTTCACCACTTCCCACACTCTTGCGGGCGGGCTGCATCATTATTCTACGCTTATATTCATATCACCGTGTTGGGAATTTCATTGCGAGTCCATTGATACCAAAATTAACGCTGTAGAACTAGTGTGGAGGTGATTACAATCCCAAGAGTAAAAACATTTTGTTGCTGATGGGCGCTCACGGCGAGTCATCTACGTAGTTATTTATTTGGTGCTGGTATCCCTATATGTTTCGTGACTTATTTTACTAATGTTCTTCTAGAGAATTTTATTGCGAACACGTTGGTACCAAAATGAAATACGTAGCATGAGAACTAAGGTCAGAGGAGTAAAAAGAGTATACACATTTTTGTTTTTACGTTTAAGCGATAAAAACGCAGCGCGCACATTCGGTTGGCTGAGTGACCTTTGCGGAGAGCGCGAAAGTGTTAATACAAACAACTGGCATAGCTTCATAAAGAGCATGCTTTTCATTTCCAGTTGAATGACATTTTGTTCTTCCACAACTCTGTTGTACATATGCCACTTTTCTGCAGCATTTCTCTTTTCTTGAAGAGTATCTGTTAAAATATTCAGAAATAAAATATAAAGTAAATGATTTAATAAGGAACATAAACAAATCTGTCATTGTAGGATGCATGTATTATGCAACGATGCAATCATATGTAATCATTTTTAAGGTATCTTCTTAATATTATTATCTTAAAAATATAAATTAGGCATGGACTTCCATTTGTCCATTACCATAATGAGTAAGTTTGAATTAACATGTTATTAGCTAACAATATTTATCCTCATTGACACGGCCAGTATGCACAGAAAATAACCAAAAACACTTACCTTTATCAGTTGGTTGAGGAGTGCCATTATACCATGGAAAGTTGCCCTCTTCAGCAATGTCCACACACAGTTTGTCTATATTGTCTTTATTGTAGCCCACTATCAGTTCCTTCAACTATTTCTTGTCTGCTTCAATCTTTGCACGGTATCGTGATCTTATTTCGCTTGAAACTGAAACACTTTGATACTAATAAATAAGATTATAGTTGATAAAATTGTTTTGTGTATAATTAGTAGTGAATACCTACACAAAAGTAGAACACACTACATAAATATTTGCTAAGCACTTTTTTTTTTTTTAACAAGCTTAGGTATACACAGCAATGTGCTGCTATCCTATTATGTATGAAAGACCACACAGTGTAGATCAAAAACCTCACAAGACAGCCAGTCATACATGGAATCAGGAGAGAACATGAAATGTAAGGCTGATCTATTAGCCTCCACTAGCAAAATCTGGGTACAGCACAAGAATATCTTCCAATATTCTTGAGTGTATAAAAGTAATAACAGAACTCAAAGTACATCATACCATTTGTTCTGAAGTAATTGATAACAGGGCAATCACAGATATAGTGTTAGACAGTATGTTCTAGCTTTTGTTCACATAGTTTACAATTGGAATGATTACCATTGGCACTTAAGCCGGGGAGCCGGTCGGCCGAGCGGACAGCACACTGGACTTGTGATCCTGTGGTCCCGGGTTCGATCCCGGGCGCCAGCGAGAAACAATGGGCAGAGTTTCTTTCACCCTATGCCCCTGTTACCTAGCAGTAAAATAGGTACCTGGGTGTTAGTCAGCTGTCACGGGCTGCTTCCTGGGGGTGGAGGCCTGGTCGAGGACCGGGCCGCGGGGACACTAAAGCCCTGAAATCATCTCAAGATAACTATCATTACTTAACCTATCAACGGCATAGGTTAAGTAATAATTGTAATTAAGAAGTAATAAGATGCTTATCTTAACATACTAAGAAGGTTAGGTGAGGTCGATGTTTTCTATGAAGCTTTTCAAGGTAAACTAAAATATCCACAATCAATTAGTATGTCACATATGCCCTTATTAAATAAGCCAATATTGACTATTAGCAAGTGCGAGAACGGGTTGATGTGAGATGGTATCCATACAAATCCACCTGAGAAATAAATGACATTAGATGTGTTTAGGTAATAAAAGTCAGTTTTTCTTGAAGTATTTTACAAACTCCAAACGATTTCTGTTTTATCATTCCCTAACTTATACAAAAGCTTTAACATACCTGTAACACTGGATATGTGGACTTTCTTGGTTCTAATTGAGTCACATACTAACTCTATCCTATTTTGAACATCATTTTGAGAAACTGATCTGTTAAGAATAGAGGCTACTGTTTATTATAATCTTTACTAAGTTCTAGCATATAAAGACCTTGATCAGTTAAAAAAACTTTAACTTGAATTTTTTAGGCAATGGTCACAATGGCATTTTATGATGGCTGACAATTGCTATACAAGAACTAAACTATTAAAATTGCAAAGAAATGTTTTTGCAATATTATGATTTATGGTATTGCATTGATTTTACCGTACAATAACCTTGTTAAAAAATATAAGAGTATTTCAAAATAGTGTTTTTTACTATATATTTTACAAGCAAACCTTTTATTTAAACTCTGGGCTAAGTTGGTTAACTCTGCAATGCAGATGAGAAGTTGTTTTTCATCGAGAGACAAGTCAGCTAACTTCTTTTTTACTAAAACTGCAGTTTCTTTTGCCTATCAACAGGAGGAAAAACTGCCCTGTTAGTATAATAAATGTTGCAATTTTTATGTAATATTTGATATTACAACAAAAAAATCATAATCCTCACTAGTCTAACTGCTGATGAAGGCTGTTTAATGGCAGTAAAGGTTATTTTTATTTTTATTTTTGAATGTGTTTTTTTTCCTGCGCACTTAGATCAGTGTTTCATGATCATTGTTGCATATATTCATTGAATAAAGCAAATTACTTGCCTTACAAAATCTTGAAGCTATAACACGAGCTAAAGAGTCACGTTTACATTGGTTCCAAAAAAAGGAATATTCACCAAGTTCTTCACGCTCTGAAAAAAATGGGATAAAAAAAATCAACCGTTCAATGAATATGTAAAATAAAAATAATTCACTTGAATACTATCTATAATTTACTTGCTATATTACTCAAATCCAATTCATATACACAAAGTTGTAGGGTGATACCAGGTGATGCTAGAGTTACTGAAGTCATCTTCATTACACATAATAAATATCACTAACAAGTTTTAATAGATAATACCTTCCTCCTTGTAACAATGCACTAAAAACTAACCGGCTTTCAACATGCTTTTTGTGGTACTGTTGTACCGCGACATATACTGTAGCGGAAAATTTGCTCGGTTTCTTCACCTGTGGTCAAACCACTTCCGTGTTGCCAGCGTCCTCCATACAAGACCTATAATTCAGATGTAACACACTGTAAAATTATTGCAAGGTAAGAATA